ATAGTAGTCACATTTACTTATTATAAATAAAGGGAAGTTCTGCCCTTTGAAGTATATGAGTTTTCTATGGGAAAGCCCACTCTGCATTGCCTAGAGAAAACCATGATGGGCATGGGCTAATCCACACTTGTCCACTGTGGGCTCACATGGAAATGTTTCTTGGGGTAGTTTAACAGGGTTGCATCCTAACGGATTCTGTTTTAGTTACATGTGTGTAACTGTGTGTTTGTTTGACTATCGTAGCAACACCACTAATAATCAGCTCTCAAATGTCATTTTAGCCCAAACCAACCTCTCCTGCTGAAGCAGCCACTCACTCCGTTCCCACGCCAGCTGCAACTCCAGTGCCACCCTCAGCTGCAGCACCAGCACCAGCCTCTGGCCCAAAACAGGTGCCCTCCACACCAACACACACAATGTCTGCTGCTGTACCTGCCTCACAGTCAGTGCCTCCATCGGAAGCCCCGCCCTCTGTTCAAGAAAACACCACTATGGCTTCTGTTGGTGCAACAGCAAAACCCACCTTGGACTCACACTCAGAATCAGCTCTGGCCTCTGGTTCCACAGCCACTGTTGCCTCTTCCACAGCTCCTGAAGCTGTACAGGAAGCCCCTGAGTTAGTCCCTACAGATAGCCCCACCCCTGCTGCCCAGTCAGAAGAAGAGCTGAGGGAAGACCCAGAGAATGAACCATCTGGCACAGCACCAGTCCAGTCCTCTGCTTCAAGGTTGGATAATAGTTTCATGTAAACTGTGGAAGTTTAATTGTTTGATCAAGAAATATCATAAGAAGTTGTAAAATGGGTAGGTAAGCTCATATTATTCTAGTTTAGATGGTTATATATTGAAGAAGCTCCAATTACTTTCTTCATGTCTTGTCACCTTCAAAGAATCAAGGTCCTTTTGTGCCTTGTGTGAGAGCATGGATAATTACAGCTTTAGATGTAATGCGTAGGTGGCCCAGTACTTTTCTTCGTATAGTGAAGCTGAGTAGTAATTGCAGTGACAGTTTTTTTTCTTCAAGCATAAGTATGCTGCTGTAGGTCAATCATAAAACAACACAACCTTGATGAACACGGTGAATATGGATTCATTTTCATTGTTTAATCAGTGTTTCATTCATTCTGGCCATGTTAGTGCTGTGGCTGTAGTGAGGAACTGAACATGATGTATGTTATTTCCTTTTTTTAGTTTTAGTATATTACTGGCACTCAATTCAGTTTGATTTATATCGTGGCAGTTCACAAAAACAGTCATCGTATGCAGGAAGAGAACCTCAATAGTGGATATAACCATTTAAGTTATAGCATAGTGCCTCAATATAGAGCAAGGAACACTTAAAATCCTAAATCCTGGTTCTTTAGAATGAACATTTATGTCATGTTTTTATATGTTTGTTCATCTCTCTCAGCCTCGTTGATGAACTGGGTCTTCTTGAAGAAGCAGCATCAATACTGGGTAATTATCAGCGATTATTCTTTTCTTTGTCATAACTAGTAAAATACTAATGTACTAATTATATGGTGCTTTTTGTTTTAATCATTAGAGTGCGACTGATACAGTAAACATTTTCTATATTACAGC